CATCCTGCCGTCACTATTCGGCAGCTTCGTATACATTTCCTTCATTAAAGATGATTTTTCATAAGCGTTTCATCAACGTTTGAATAACAGATGAATTAACTATAGTAGTACAACATATATCGTGTAATGGCGCTGTAAGAATATCCACTACCTTAAATATCATCCCGTGGGTGTCGTAAGAGGCGACAGAGGGAAATAGATCGGGATATGGGCAGAACCGTCTTCTTAATAACGACTAAAAATCATAACAACTGCGGTTACAATCCCGCTAACCAAGCGTAGCAATTATGGCAGATATCCGCCCTATGAGACACTCTGTGGGGGAGACCTGTGTTCAGCATTGGTCTCTAATAGGCTGAACGATAACGGCACAGCATATTGTGCATGTTATGGAAGCGGTAGAGTCACAAATTATTAATAAGATGACATCGTAGGAAGGAAGGAAGGTGTTGAGACCTTTTTATATACACGAAATCCTCACAAAATATTCAAATCCTAATAATTCGTTTTCTTCTTCCAATTATGAGCCCCAGACGCAGCAATTAAAAATGAGTTATTGCTTCACATTTCGCCTTCGAATACTTAAAGCCCAAACAATAGTCAGTCATATGAGTGACTGCTCAGTGAGAGGTGTTCTACAAACATTTGTAAAGCCGCAAATACAATAACTCGACCGCCAAACAATTGCAATATTGCATCACAATACAAGGAATCTAAATCAATCAAGATTATATATCGCATATCAAGTGTACTATAAACAATCGTGATACATAGTTGGAAAATGCAGGAAAATTACGACAATAATTATTGTGCAACGGCTATTCCACTGTTATGTTATTAATATTTGCTTTATTTTAATTGCACCAGGCGCTTCGATGTTGTGTTTTTATTTTATTTTTAATAAAACTGACGTGACGGACGATATTACAGCCCACCTGATGGTAAGTGGCTACACAGAAATAGCTGCAGACGTTTTGTTACCTACAAAACAAAACAAAATATGATGAAAACATGAGATGAACAAAACATCTGCAATTTCATGCCAAATAAATGCCTTACAGCTTGAATAAATCAAAGAAGTCTTTCTATCACGAGTAAGATTTTTCCATTTTTTTATAAGTGCATCAGGTGTTGGTACCATACTCTTACCTAATATCTTTTATATATATTAAATAGTTAGGCACCTATTTCTAGATCTGGTCTGCCACACCAGACTTAAAACATTCTAAAAACTTGATCCGTGCTTTTGATCGTAAATTCGCTTCAGAAGCCCTGGGATTAAATAAAAATAAATTGCGCATTCTGGCAAGAGCCCTAACTGGACACTGTTGTCTTAAAAAGCACATGTCCATCCTGGGACTAAGCAACTCAAGGATGTGTCGGTTCTGTTCCATAACAGAAGAAACGCCTCTACACATTCTAACTGATTGCGGACCCTTAATGCGCAAACGTAACACTCATCTGGGACACTATCTACTCCACCCAGAAGAAGTGAAATTGCTCACGGCTAAGCAACTCCTTCTATTCATTGAAGACATAGGGCGTAGCTGTGAACTATAGCCATAGCCGCGGTCACAATAGATTTTTTAGGTCGCAGTGATACTGGTCGCTTTCCCTAGACCTGCATAGCTGCTCGCACATAATTAAAAAAAACTTATTTCTACCGGTCTATGAATTCACTACTGTTTTTAGGGTTCCGTAGTCAACTAGGAACCCTTATAGTTTCGCCATGTCTGTCTGTCCGTCTGTCCGTCCTCGCTTAATCTCTGTGACCGTTAGCACAAGAAAACTGAAATTTGGTACCAATATGTGTATCAATCACGCCGACAAAGTGGTAAAATAAAAATTGGAAAAAAATGTTTTATTAGGGTAGCCCCCCTTATATGTAAAGTGGGAAGTGATTTTTTTTAATTTCAACCCTAACGTGTGACATATTGTTGGAAAGGTATTTAAAAATGAATAGGGGTTTACTAAAATCATTTTTTGATAATGTCAATAATTTCGGAAATAATCGCTCCAAAAGTAAAAAAAACAATGTGTCCCCCCCCCCCTCTAACTTTTGAACCATAAGTTTATAAAATATGAAAAAAATCTGAAAGTAGAACTTTATAAGGACTTTCTAGAAAAATCATTTTGAACTTGGATGGAAACAACAGTACCCACTACCGGGAGCAGTTGCAGGAGCGCGGAGCGCTGCTGGAGCGCGAACATAATGGATACCCACCTTTAAACTCATAAGTGGGAACACACTTATTGTGACGGACGGGAAACTACGGAACCCTACACTGAGCGTGGCCCGACACGCTCTTGGCCGGTTTTTCAGTTTAAACAGTAAACTAATCGTAGAAGTTGCAGAGCTTCATCGTAATTCTCTGAAGTGAGAACATATTAGTATATTTTTTTAAGTTGGTTAACAGGTATACGTGTTTGATAGTAGTCACCACCATGTGGACTGTTAGTTCTACTTGTCAATTTAATATAATGAAGGAATGGATTATTTTTATAAACTCAAATTTTATAAACTGACTTATAAACTACTAACTATGAATTCTTGTACGTGGTAGATTCACGCTGCGCATATTGCTGCAAAGCTGCACCACGAATGGTTCGGCTCAGCTGAGGAGGGGCTACGCTCGTAAAGAATACATCGGTAAAATAGCAGCATAATAATGCAGTGTTCAATATGCAGAGTAATTTGAACAGGAGACCCTTTTTAGTAGTAATGAGGCAATTCATCTTAGTTCACAGAGGTGACGAGGCATCTCCATTTCGCATCCACTTAACATGAGATGGATTGTTTGTTTGTTTATCACTCTTAGTATTTTACTTTTACATTTTTTATAGAATAAGGGTGACAAACAAATACATGGTAAGTTTAGTAAGGATATTGTGGCCTATAGATATCTACATAGCACACAGTTCACCTGATGATAAATGAATTCTGTGGTCCATAGACATCTACATCCATCCTCGCTAAAGAATCAAAATGCAGATGCGTTGTCACCCCTGAGGACTAAGACGAAATGCCCCGTTTCCAGTAAAAAGTCTCCATTTCTCTACGCTCACCATACGAAACACAGCAGCATTAAGCTGCTATTTTACGCTGATATTCTTTGAGAGCGTGGTCCTACTATGGTGAGCTATAACTAAAACATAGCTGCTGCGTGGCTTTACTAGATATTCTGTGCTTTTACTTCAATAAAAATATGCCAGGCAAGCGGTTTGGTGAGCAAATGTAACGTAAATGTATAAGTTATCACAAATCAAATAAAAAAATTCATCTTATTTACTGATATAATATATATTTTTGCATTTACCTATAAAGTTTTATGACTTTTTTGATATTTCAAAATTTTACTTCATTCGTGAAATATATATCTGCAATAAGTTCCGACGTGAATTATGTAGGAAATCAATTTTCACTAACGCGAAAGCGTATCTAATGAAATAGGATGAATTACTTATTTTTGTGTCGTCGATGGATGCAGGTGCTAAGGACAGTGCTTTGTGGCATTAGTTGGGGAGGCCTGTGTTCAGCATTGGAAGGGCTGTACTGATGATGATGATGGTTTATGTACAGGTTTGTTTCTTCTTGTTTGACGTAATTGTTTCGCTAAACGGCTCCTCCCCTTTCTCATTAGCCTTAATAGAGTCAATTGTTTAACAAATCTTTCCCATAATACCAAGAATTTCGTAATTCCCATATTTGGCAGTCATTTTGGTGATTCCAGTGCTAGACCTTACATAACTTTAACGACCCCTCCCAAAAATTATATATCTGCTCTACAGGTTGACAAGGAGTTAATGGATAACCTTGAAATTACTAGCAGAGTTAATGGCTGATCAAAAAAATATCACAAGTAGTATCCAAGGCATGATTTTTTTTTAGAATACCACAATATATTTTTTGTTAATTCAAATTATAGTCCCTAAAAACTAGGAATGTTATATTAATATAATTCAAATGTCGGCCCAATGGTTAAGAATTAGTTTAAGTCAGTTTTACAGAGAAATATTTTTCAACAATATCGTAATTTTAAATACGTAATTTTTCAATAATTCGTTTATATTTTTTTAAATACCAAAAGAATGTATTAATTTAAAAAAAAATGTATACAACATGAATTTCGTGTGTTCTGTCCTTTACTGGGATTATCATTACGCGTATTGTTGTTTAGCTATATAGGTCACTTAGATACTAAAAGTAGATTGATAGGTAGATAGAGATAGTTAAATAATAAACGCAAGTAACGTAGAGAGAAAAAATTCTCTACGATAATTGAAACTGTTTTGACTCCCTATTAAGTTTCAAACAGATCACAATCCGCTCATGGCGGAAGAAGTGGTAACCTTTGTTTATTTTAAATAAATAAATCAGCATTTTTACTTGCGTTCTTGCAGTCTGCTTAAATCACGTATGTACAGAAATAACAGCATTATTGATGACATTTGCGGTCGTGCCACTATGAGTACACAGCCCATTCTCTATATACACATATCCAAAAACTTTCAGTATGTTTGCTAAATATATCAACATATAAACTTACTTAATAAATATATGTATTATTTGCACTTATATAAATTAGAAACTGAAAAAAACACTAGAAATTTAACCGATTAAAATCAAAATTTTCGAATGCCTACATAAGTTTTAAAGGACTAAGATGGATATAAATACAAACGTTTTAACCGTGTGTGATACCTAGTTAATGGAAAAGGTAAAGAACGAATCATCTATATAATAACACAAAAATTTCCTTTTCTCTTTAGTCTACTAAATCCTAAAGTCAGAAATAATTGCAAGCGCGTCTTACGAAATGCACGGGCAGATAACTTACTCGGTCAAATGACGGAAAAAAACAATTTTCACGAGTAAAACCTACTTGCACGCCGCACGCAGACCAGTCGCTCTCGCGCCGGCGTAGCCGTTGTTTCAAAATGGCGATATAATTCCCGCCACAATCGAAATCCAGCTTGACAGTTCGTTAATTTGTCTGATTATGGCTCTACAAGTTCAGTTGTCGCGTTATATGGAACGTGTGAAGGATAACAGGGGGATAAGTGAGTGTAACACGTGTTAATAATTTACGTAATTTGTTGCATTACCCACAAACTTGCGGCTGTCCGTGTTGCGGTATCGCGAAATAGAAATTACGACCTTCGGATTTGATATTTGTCCGTTCTAAATCGCAGAGTGAACATATGGAATGTGAACTAATGTCAACATACAATAAAAATATAAGTAAAAAATAATTTAACTGTTTGCGTACTATTATGCTACGTTTCTGATAACTTCTTTCAATTCATCCGATGAAACCATCAAAACTTACTATTTATTTGGTTGACCGTATTAACGAGAACATAATATTTTCTTTATATGTATTACTACTTGGTACAGTATAATGCGAATTATTGTTTACCCAATAACACAACTGAAACTAAACTTGATATATTAAAATGTTTCAAAAAGGTGCGCTAAAAACTTTTGCGTAGTATATCTTCACAATAAAGTCATTAATAAGCGTGTCGGGATGAAAGATAAACAATTGCAATAATGTTATTAATAAATACGAACACCACATTGAATTTATTTGGCGTTTAGTTTGGAGGTTTAGTTAGTTAGTTAGTTTAGTTCTAAATAACTATATTCTGAAATATTCAAATTTTGTTAAACTCAAAAGAAGTATGTCAACAAAACTTCTAAAAGAACCAAGCTAGAGTTTCATGATGCGAACAATGGTTTATCTGAACAATTATTATTGATTGCATATGCTGGCTTGCGCTGCTATAATGTGACAGAGAGCGCCTCAGTTCATTTCCGGTGTTGTATGACACGGCCTTTTATGTATTGTATTCAGTTCCCATAAACTTTGTTATATTTATTTTATAAAACCTACGCAATTCCAATCATCGATGCTGTTATAAGCATTCCTACTCCCAATTACATTTAAAAGAGCTCGGGATGTTGATGAAAAATCTTTATGTATTTTGTAATGGATAACAGTGAAGTGAAGTCTATGCAGTGCAACTCACTTTTTTACTAGTTACTTAGTTACACTTACTACTTAGTTTCACTTTAAATCGAAGCAAATTATTCTAATCCTATACAAAGTTTGTAGCAAAGTGTATTGTTGTGTGAATATTTTCCAATGGATTACTCTAATTATACTACTTACTTCTAGTATTTCCATTTTTAGTTCTTTGAAAATATTTTCCAGTTCACCAAGTGAAAAAAGGGTTTATGTTAATACAAAGCACATAAAACAACAATACTATTTATCTTTTTAATTAAAATTCGATACTAGTATTGGAAATGAGACAGTTTCCGTAATCTCTTTATTATAGACTTAAATTTAGAAAGGAGGCAGTTGTGATATCTTACAAAGAAGAGAAAAACAATTGAGTTGTATAACAACCGATTAGTGAAAATTAAATTCGATACTGCAATTGTTACCTTTGGATTAATTTACAAACTGACTACCGTAAAAGGTTATAATATTACTACCCTGATGCTGTTTCTAAAATAAATTTTGTAAACAGTTTGTGCAACCTTTCAAATTATGAGTTACTTGAAAATAAAAAAAAGTTTCGCTGGGTTTTTTTTTCGAACCAGTGAAAAATTACTTTCAGTAAGAATTACATATGATCTTTTTTGAATTAAAAAATATTTTAATCTACACTTTCTATACAAAACTAATATAACTTAAAAATTGAAAACAGTTTTACATACTACTTTCTTGAATCTAAGTACTCATAACAAGAAAATTTGCGGTGTCAGGTTTGTTGCAATGAGCTTTATTCTCTCGATTTCCATCACCTTCAACTACATTCAAGTACCAGCTATAGCAGCAGCCAGTATTCAGCTTTACTTTTTGTCTTTAGTGAAGCGTTAAAAGTTATTTTAGTGTTTTTACTTTAAATGAGTAATTATCTCTATAAATTATTATTATTTCTGTTCTCAATACTCCAACTACTAACTATATTCCAACTATACAATTAATATAATTCGGAAAACAAGGCTTTATCTAGCATTTCTCGTTTTGAGTCACAAACATTAATCGTTACTTAGTAGGTAAGCGTGTTAGCGATCACAAAAGCACACATGTAGTAATTTTTAAAGTTGTCAATTTTACACTAACAAACTAATTTAAGACCTTTTCCATACTCGTCAAATAATTTTATCCGTATCACAAATTAAAAAGTTACTAATTGTTATTATAACTCATTAAATAACCAAGCAATTAAAACTAAAACGTTTTGCAATCTACAAACATACCTACATACATATTTCAGCTAAATAACCGGATATACTTACAATTAATGTAATTCAAGGATACCGTGCTAATTACTTAACATTTTACAGAACTGATTTTATTGAAACTGGCTTTTTTCTTAAATAACTTAGAATTTTAAACTTTAAAAGCCAGTTCTTAGTGAATCATCACGACAGTAGTCGTCATTGAAATAATACTAGTTTTTACGGATTTTATCGCGTATATTTAACTATAAATACCCGACATTACGTTACGGATATTTATAGTTAAATATACGCGATAAAATCCGTAAAAACTAGTATTATTTCAATGTATAGTATTCTCGTAAATATAAGAAATCATTAAGTAGTCGTCATGTTCAAAAATCATCGTATTTAGTGTGTATATTATGATGTTGACATAGCACGACACGATTAACTTGTTCCTCCGAAGTAGTCTGTCTGCTTGTAATTTTGACGACAGACAGTTTCAATTTTTACTTTTATTACTTAAGGTTTATTTTTATGTATCACGAAGTTATGTTAGGGAGATTCGATCAAGAATCTTGTTTGCCTTTTTTGTTAAATAGAAAAACGTCACGATACTATGAAAACCGACTCTAACATAGACGTGACTTTCAGACTTCCGTTAAATAGATACAAATATATTAGCAGTGGCATATAATTTATAAACATTCAAGATAGTTATAGCTGCTTAACATTCTTTGTATATCAGTTAATACACAAAATTACAAACAATTGAAACAGATCTGCATTTTGATTCTTGATCGAGGTTAAATGTGGACGTATATGGGCCACAGCATCCACTTACCATCAGGTGAACAGTGTGCCCATTTGTCACTCTTATTCTATAATGATCGCTGAATTAGTTAATTAACTAGTACTAATACAACTCTAGTAAAGTAAAAAAAAATATTTTAAGTAAGCATTTTTTTACATATGACTATAATAACATGCAACATTTATTACAATAATTGTAATGAAAGGATACCAAAACTGAAAACTTAAATTATTATACATTTCTACTCCGCGCGGTATAGTGCCTGAAACGGTAGCTGCGTTTCCTCGCTGAATGGCTCTACTCCGCTTTGGAGCAAGAAAAGAACAGCCCTCTTTCTCCAGCTACGATGACTATTGGCGAATTCAGTTCCTTCAGGAACTTCACTGCACGTGAAGCCCACGGACCGATACTCTTTATAGCCAATGGCACAATCTGTAGTTTTACCTGTTACCTCTCAGAGACTCATATTTACGTCATTTACTCAGTTCAGCTGCCTCTGGTGAAGCCCCAGAACTAAACGACGTTGGTCTGAGATGTGTGGCCGCCAGTGTCTACGCACGTAGCATTCCACAGTGCTTTGCCCCTCCCAAGGGACTAAAGTCATATAGTCCTCCATTTGTTTTACCAAACCGTAATATTCCACAAAGATTCAGATTTGCAAGAATCATAAAGTATTAAAGCACTAAAATGGTAGTCAGCTACATATAAAAACAAACCTATAAAGGATGGTTAACATGAAAAAATTTTGAAAAGGTTAGGAACAAAAAACCAGATCCATCAAATTTACCTCACCTCATTTCCATCATCATGATCGTCATTACAACCTTTCACATGTCCACTTCTAAATATAGACCTCAATCTAAAACACCACTATACACGATCCTGAGCCACCTGCATACATCGACTTCCTACATGTCTTACCAAGTTGTCACTTCATAATTCCCTTAATTAGATTCTAAAGTTTTCAAACTATAACCCCGCACTATCTCATTTGATAGAAAGTGGTGAAGTAGCAGGTTAATGGTAAAGTGCACTGAACTGTGGCTACTTAAAGACATTTTAAAATTAAGATTAAAAAACATGTAATTTACAATTGAAATCAGGTTGATTATTATTATTGTGTAAGTGATCGGAGAAACTTTTACATTAGGAGTCTGTTAAGCTTATTAGTCTAAATTTATGGTATGTATATATCCCTTAGCTTTACTTGCAGACTCAAAGAATTTGAATACATCATATTTACTTAAACTCGAAAGAGATTGCCAAGAAACTCGTTTCACATGTTGCAAACTTCATTTTTAAACGCCGTTATGTGTATTTTTACCACGGAATATTTATTACCGAATCATTTTAGATTCATTTTACTTTTTTTGTAATATTTTGTTGTTCCTTTGTCTCTTTTTTTATTTTGCGTTGTATATTATAGGTTTGCAAAGATATTTGAAAATAAGATATTTGTGTAAACCGCCAATTCATGAAACCCATGCCATATCAACTTTATTATCTTTTGGTTGACACCTTTTACTACGTTCTTCATAACATCCTTTTAAGCTGGAATACACGTAGCACTTTTGTACACCCGTTCATATTAGTTTGCACTAACTTAGTAAAATACTAGTAGAAGTCATCTTTAACTGAATGGTTTAAATATTACTTTTGCTTGCACGTATAAGGAGTATTCACTACCGTGTTTTCAAAAACAAAATGTTGGCTTTAACCGTTTGTGTTTGCAAAATATTGTCACGTTTGCGCGTTCAGTTTCGTAGAAGCGCGTTCTTTAAATGATGTTCATCACACGATGTTGTACGTCGATTTCATTTGGTTAATATCAATAAGCCTCTTCCCTGGAATGTATGCATTTGTAACTAGTGATTCACACAAGTAGGAATACAACTTACAATCGTGGTAGGAATATTCACATATAAAAATTTTTCTCAGATATGTTGCGTCTCAGTTTGGCATTAAATGTGAAAAGTGAATATTCTAATAAATAAATTGAAATATTCC